TTATATACTTCTATATTAAATTCATTTTTGTAATTTGAAATTTATTAATTTAAATATAAAATATTATATATTTTCCCGCATAATTAAGTAATTTTGTGTCAAAAAACATTTCCGCGTAATCGGTTGCTTTTTTTACTTTCGGAATTTGATCAATTTAGTACGATATTTGTTGTGTGTATATGTATATACTAAATTTATATAAGAATAGGTAATTATATGCCTACGCACCGTTAAAAACTAAATTGTTGTATTGTAGTTTAGGTAGTATAGTTAAAAACTGCAAATTAGTTTGTAAGTGACCATTACCTCCACTAGATTGAAAATCCTCTGATACATTAAGATGAGATTATAGTTTGAAAAAATCTTCTAGAAATATCTCTAACCGGGAATATGCAAGAAGGTCACGTATGCGCAAAAAGAAGCAAATCGAAGAGCTGCAACAACAAGTTGAACAGCTCATGATGTTGAATCATCACTTGCATGAGAAAGTCATCAACTTGTTGGAAAGCAACCACCAAATCCTGCACGAGAACTCACAGCTGAAAGAGAAAGCCTCTTCCTTTCACTTGCTCATGGCAGATGTGTTATTACCCATGAGAAATGCATAGAGCAATATCAATGACCGCAATGTGAATTATCTAAGAGGAGAAACATCAAACCGTCCCACCAACAGTCCCTTTGGTAAGTAAAATAAAGTTTCATGATCCACTCTTCTAGTTCTTGGTGTGTTTACTAAAAAAGTCTGTAGTACTATGATTGATGCATATATGTGACTAGTGACTACTACACTTACAATCACTTGAATTTGTATGTAGATAATGGATAACAACAATGCAGTAGCTATTATTGTTAAATATCTACTTGTTTCACATGATTGGTCTAAAGAAGCAAATCAACTTAAGCAAAAGGTTCAACAAACATTGTTAACACCAAAAACAGAACAAAAAAAACTAAATGGGCATATCTGGTTTCTTGCCAACATCACAAGTGTCCTCTAAGACAGTACCTCCATTGGGGATTTCACCATTGGGTATCTCTGCAGAAGCTGAATCAATGACCTCTTCTTGTTCTTCTTCTACTTCTTCTACCTCTCCTACTTCTCCTACTTCTTCAACTTCTTCTTCAACCTCTTCTACTTCTTCCATTTCTTCTACTTCATCTTCTTCTTCTTCGATGCATTGTGGCGGGTCTAGAAACGAAGCATCCGGGTCTGCATACCAACGTGCACATGGCCACCTAAAAGCAATGACCAAAACCCAAGATAAACAGTATTATCATCCAAAAATACAAACACACAGTCGAAAACTTATGACAAAAACCTCTGTTTTATACACCAATCTGAAAACTTACACGCTTGAACAAATGGTTTCACCATCAATTGTTGTTGTCTCCTCATATTCATCCACTGAAACAAAAACAACAACACCCAAAAAAAGATCAATTTTTTAATGAAATCTTAA